TTAACATCAACATACATATCAATGATTATATGCAGGTCTAATGGGCATCTACATGGAAAGTAAAAAGCCTGAAAAAAAGCAGAAAGGAAATATTCTCAAATATAAAAAAAGGAAATATTCTCAAATATAACAGGATGGAGTCAAGATAGGATACGTTATTGAGAAAAGCTATGAAATTTAATTCCTTAGAGATATTTAAAAATAAAGACATTTTACCCAAAACAATTTAGATGAAATTTTAAATAGACTAGTCACTTGCCAACTAATATTTACCATTAGCCAGCATGCCAGTTTTCTCTTCTTCCTAAATTAAAAGAAGAAAATTACGTTTTGAAAGCAAAACTACATTAAATGACCACAAAACAGATAGTTAAGAGGTTGAAGGCAGGAACCGTGAGAAGATGTGGCGCTGTCCTTTACCACAGCCTGCGGAGACGACACAGCTCTGCAAGAACTACTGCAGGTCTCTTTGGAACATTGGTCATTACCAAAACAGTTTTGGGCCTTAACTTTGCTTCAAGTATCTAGAGGCTACCAGGTCATCTACTTTGCTAAAAAACTGTATTTTGTTGTTGTTTGCTTATTTCAGGCACAGGAGCCTGAAATTATAACATTATCAATTTTTCCTTATTGTTCAAAATCAATTACCAAATATACGTTCAATTCACTATTTTTCTACAGTTTGCGGGGCCTACTTTCAGGTAGGCAGGCTGTCAAAGGGCAGGATATTGAAGCTCTTCAATATTAAGGTTTTAATTAGCATCCCCTTGATTCCCCACCCGGCCAGGCAGGGTGCAGGGCCCCTACAGTAACACCTTTACTTCCTTTGTATCTGGAGTCTTAGCTCTCAGGAAGGCTTTCATATTTTTACACAAAGTCTAAATATAAACTGACTTACTGACTTGCTCACAGAATATTGTGATTTCCATATTTCAAACAAATACCATTACATTTCTAAAGATACACAAAGGCCACATTAACCTTTCTGTTATTTCTAAAATCACCTTATTTCTTCCAAAATGAGGGATATATACACACTCAAGAAAAAGTGCTAAATACTTTTTCTATTTAGAGTCTATGGTTTATACATGTTCTAAACACCTCATTCTAACATAGGGACAAAAGAATATGTCCAGATCCAGACCAAAGAAAGAAATAGTAATCATCCTAGTAGCTACTATTTTATAACTTCAATGAAAGATTATAATATACAGGCAATATTTAATAACAGGTCTAAACACATCATGTTAAGAACTGGGAAATGGCAGAACTAGAGTAGAGCAGGGCAGAACGTGAGTTGAGAAATGTAATTCCTTGTTCTAACCATATGGGCTTCAGACACTAATGCTGCCACTAGCAGAAATCCCAAGAAGGGTATTCACAACATCTCACAAGGACAAGTTCTACAAAGAAAGCCCTAATAGATCAGTTTAAAAAATAGTGTTAAGCCGGGCGTGGTGGCGCACGCCTTTAATCCCAGCACTTGGGAGGCAGAGGCAGGTGGATCTCTGTGAGTTCAAGGCCAGCCTGGTCTACATAATGAGTTCCAGGACAGCTGGGGCTACAGGGAGGCCCTGTCTCAAACCCCCCCCCCCGAAAAAGTGTTAAAATTTAGTTGTGTTCCATTTCTAAAGCTTACTGTAATAAAAATTATCTAGCAAAAGTCATTGCTTCTAAGATTTGGCTTTAAGATTGGCTTTAAGATTTACATTGATACCCTTAGTTTAGAAAATGCTTAAGTGTTTAAGACTTACAAGCTTAGAATGAGCAAGACTTTGAAGAACTCTGTATTTCAAGCTCTTCTGACAGGAAGTCAGCAGGCTGATGAAAGTTGTCACAGAACTGTCAAAAGTGCAACTAACATAAATCTGATGGGCATAGTTACATTTTCTGATTCAGGATTTTTCCTTGGGATGAATCTCTTCATCTTTAGTAATCAAAGGTGCATCAATATCGTCTGCAGCTTCGAAATCATCACTGTAATTTTCTGAAGGAAATAATTTTTAAAAGTGTAAGGACCAGTGTTGAAAAAGTTAAATTTCAAGAAAGGACTACTGACTTCCAAAGAAGTCTCCATAAGAATACATTCCCAAAGATATTAATATGAACATATCTTTGAATTTTTTTTTGCAAAAATGAATGAGTTCAATTTAAAATGAAGACTATTTTAGGTTTATTTCATTTTTTTGTGCTTTCATACAATCCTAAGAAGATTAAAATTTGAATTTACTCTTTTATGACATGTCTCTTAAACAGACATTGGTCCTACAAGACCTTTGCTGTTTTCCAATTCTGGATACTTCCTGGTGTAAACCCTGTAGATTACATCTCGGTGGTGTGCAGCAGAAGAAAAATGCCTCAAAATTGACTGATGTTGTCAGTCTATCTATGGGGAGTGGGGTAAGGGTTTATTTGGCCAAGATTTCTTTATCAATTTTTAACTTGTAAATGGTTTTTAAATCAAAAGATCACCTGAGATGAGTGGGCTGAGGAAGAGGAAGGAGGTGCAGGGTGTGTGAGTGCAGAGGCCGTGTCTGAAGACAGGGTGATGGTGTAACAGCAAGACGAGGAGCCAGGCCTAGGCCTGTCTTTGAGCTACTATTCAGTGATAGGATGATGGCCATCACTAAAGCTCCAGGCCTTACTTTTCTCATCTGTAGAGATGAGAACAGTGTTTATGTGAAAGGACTGCTGAGATTTGAGAGTCAGTGTTCAAACAGCACCTGACATTTAATATGCACAATTTAAGTGTCAAGTGTTGTATGTAATAGTATTTATTGAGAGTATTATAGTCTTGCTTCATCTAAACTAAATATTAATGAAGTCAAATATTATTTTTATTGTTGTTGTTTTGACTTTTTGGTGTGTAGAAATGAAGTGGGGCCTTGTGCATGCTAGACAAGCACTCTATTCTAGTCCCTCCTTCTGACTGGAAAAATAACACATTATTCCAAACTGTAATTTAATGTTTTCATTTAGTAACTGAACAAACTATAGGAAAAATTCCCATACAACATAGGAATGATCAACCTCCATTCCAGGAATCTGTCATGAATAAAGTCAATCTGAAGTAAGAAGGAAATGTCACTGGCAGATGTAGACAGAAATGAAAAAAAAACAAAACAAAACAAAAAAAACAACCAACCAACCAACCAACAAAAAAAAAACAACAAAAAACCAAGAAATAAAGGGAAGGAAAATAGCATGTCAGAGATTTCAGAAACATCAAAGTGAACTAAGCTTACATAAAAATGAAAGAAGCAGCCAAACTGAGGCGATCTTTCTATGAGAGCATCAGAGTTAACCAGTCTCTCCTACTCTGTTCTGGCCAACAATGAGAGTATGAACTTATGCTGCTCTAACCATTGGGTAGGAGAATGTTAAAATTCAAAATGTTCTCCACTCTTGTAACTTCAAATATATTACATATTTTTGAAAATACAGAATTTTGAAAATGTTTGTTTGAAAAATAAATTATTGTGAACAGAAAATATTCTTTAATTCAGATAAAGTAAACCATATCAAATGTAGAGGTCTAAAAGCTTCATTTTGGAGATATTTTTCATCCTTTATTGTCAAGTTTATCTATAAACTTTAAGTATAATGCAATCTGAAAGACTGCCTCTGTCCTGTAAGAATGAAAGGCCTTGCTATAACCTCCACTGTAAAGCATTAGACAAAATATATGAAATAATTGTTTTTTAGACACTGAACAACTGACAGGAAAGAATGTCATTCCTAAGAAACACAAACAAATGAGGTAAGCCCCCCACTGCTGAAGATGTGTACGGAGTGTATGGTAGCGGGTCAGGGGGACAGGTTTTCACTGGGTTCAGAAGACAAGAGTCCAGAAAAGCCAAAGGCAATCAGAAGTCGCAGGGCAGTATTGAGAGGAGGCATGTATGGCCTATGTAGAAATATTCCAGAAGAAATCTGCATCGGTGGAGGTGAAGGTCCTTCTGGGTCTTTACTAGACACTAAGCCCTTTGTGTAGGCTGTACCAAGAACTAGGAGACCATAGGCTGGACAATCCCCAGGTGACACAATGCAGAGAGATGTTTGATCTCTAAGCTGCATAAGAGGAAGGTTCTCAATGATCAGGAACCTTTACAAGAAACCTCCGAAGAGACAACACCATTGTACAAAGACCTTGCACCTATAAAAAGATCAAGTTGCAGGATTAACTATCTGCAGAATAAGGCTCATCTATTTGTTTATTTTTTTGAGACAGGGTCTCCCGGTAGCCCCAGCTGGCCTGGAACTTGCAATGGAGACCAGATTTGCCTCGATCTAGCAGCAATCTGCCTGCTTCTGCTTCCTGAGCACCAGGTCAGCCAGGACTACATAGTGATACCCTGTCTTTAAAAAAAAGTCAGGAGATGGAGAAGAGTTCTGCTTCCCAGCAACATGCATTGCAGGTTTTGTTCTGGCTTCTGATGTCCAGTCCTGGCACAAATCCCCTTTCCCTGTCTTTTCCGTTGCTCTGCTGATTGGTTTCCACAAATGAGGTTGCAGTTCCCTTTTAACAACTCCTTAGTAACTGAGATTGTAACAGGTACTCTGCAGTCCACCTGCTCAGAGCACTTCCCAAGACCATATGCTTCATGTTTTCAGTACTGCTCTTAGCAATGTCTGTATTAGAAGTTATACCATTTTCTCAAATATCACAAATTTGAAGCCAATGAAATTACCTGGCAGTTCCTCATGTTTCAATTCATTCTCATGGTCATCTTCAGCTAGTTCTGCATTAGCTTGATAACTGAAAAATATTTAACATATATTACGTTACTACATTTTCATACAATATATGTTGCATTATATATCTTAAAATTTCTAAAATTATGTCTTCTCAAGTACCCTTGCTCTATACAAAGTTACAAATTGGGGAGATATAAGGAAAATGTCGAAAATAAAAGATTCTTAAAAACTAAAATTGTAGCTGCTGAAGAAAGCAAAGGAAAATGCCATTTTGCGTAACTACATATACAAATGGTACACAATTTTATACATAAGTGTGTGCATTAACACATACGCACACTATTCCATGAACCAGGCATCCTTTCTTCACTAAAGTTAGGAATGGATCACAAACTATGAAAACTAAGTGAAGTTTACAGGAAGGCCAACAAAACCCCACAAAGCAAGATGAGCGCAAACATGCTAAAAAGCAATCTAATCCTAAATGGAAGCTGATGGGGCCTTAAACCAAGAAACACTTCAGCAAGGAGAGGAAGAAGCTTAAGCACATTTTAACTAAATCGGACACATCAGCGCATATCTGGCTTTCACTTAAACCAAGCAACCAGTTTTACCTTTTCCAGTCCATTAACTGTGTCTTTAGTGAGATACTCAGCATACCTTAGAGTCTCTAAGACTGTAGGACTAGCACTCAACATCTAACACTGTACTCTCAAGGCTATCCTGTCCTCTGACTAGCCTATTCTAGAATGAAATACCAAGTTAAGAGTATCTTAAAGAAAAAGTTATAGAATACTTGAAAGGAGCAAAAACTGAGGCCAATAAACCTATGCATACTTAAATTGTGTTGCCACTGTTGGGAGGGGCAAATGGCCTTGAGTATCCCTGCATATTCTTTCTGGGTATGCCAGTAGCACAAGACCCTGATCATTCTTTGCCAAGCCATTTCTCAGGGTGGTGTTCAAAGTAAGCAATCATGAGGCATAACACAATGTTTTTTATCCAAAGAATAGGCCTATTTCCATTTACTATATAGATCAAGATTTTTCTAAGCACAAATGTACCTGTCTTAATTTGTAACTGACTTGTGTGTAGAAATCCATCACAGATTCCTTTACTTTGTCACTGTAGGACTCATGGAAAGCCAATCAAACAAGTGTGACACTCAGGTACTAGTGTGGTTGTGAGAAATGAAGTCTTTTGTTTCTTACTGAGGAATTAAATTTATCGTATCTACATGGAAACTTGTATGTACACTAAGTTTTAGAACCTACATAGCTCATGCCAGGATATAGACTGCTTTATCTGCTATCACCTAAGACTAGGTTCTCAAATTAACCAGAGGTTATGAGTCTCACAATTCTTTTGATTCTACTTCTGTGTTCTTACAAAATCCTAAATAAAACCATAAACTGATTTGCACTTACAAGAAAACAACCATGTGGATAGCTAAACCAAGGAAATTAAAGACCTTAGCAAAGTCTGAAGAATGGAAATGGGCTACTGTGCTTAAAAGTGGTCCACTCTGGGGCTGAAGAGATGGTTCAGTGGTTAGAGGAACTTGCGACTCTTGTGGAGGGCAAGGTTCACATAAGACAGTTCACAAGCCTGTAACTCCAGCTCAATGGGATTTGATGCCCTCTTCTGACATCAATAGGTACCAGGCACATGGTGCACATACAAATATGTAAGCAGAAGATATATGCGTTAAAATCTAAACAAATAAAGACTGGCCAGCTCAGCCAGCTAAAATTTCTAGGATGAATGAGGTTTCAAATTAACTCTGCTTTGCTTCCTTGTTCTTAATGCCCTTTCTGCCCTTTTCCCCCCTGACTTTCTAACAGTATTCTGGACTTTTTATTTTCCTTTTATCTGTAAAAAGACAATTCCTTTCCAACCTGAGGCAGAACGGGGGTTCACCTACAAAGCAACATTATTTTGTTCATACATTAGACTAAAATTCTTGACTAAAACGAACACAGAATACAGTTCAAAAGATAGGATTTGGGGGGAGGAGATGGCTCCATCAGTAAAGTGCTTCCCAGGTAAGCATGGGGAGCTGAGTTCATATCCCTGGAAAGAACATAAAAAGCCATGTGCGATGGCACCTGCCTACAAGCCCAGCAGGGAGTTGGAGACAGGCAGATCCCTGGAGTTTGCTGGCTAGCTAAACTAGCCCAACTGGCAATCTCCAGATTCACTGAGACACCATCACAGAAAATAAGGTGGAGAGGACAGAGGAAGACACCTGACATCAACATCTGGCCTCCACATGCACCTGCATGTACATAGGCACACACAAATGAGAAAAGAAATAAAAGGTAAGATTTAATGTTGTCTGTTATAAAGTTTAACTACTAGAATCTATGCATCTATCAAAAATATACAAAACACAAAAATCAATAAATATTTGTATTTACCTATGTAAAGCTTTAAATTGTGTGGAGTCATCAGAATCCAATTCTTTATTTAATTTGGAATAATCAATGGATGATGTCAAGCCTTTCTCAAGCCTGGCAAAAAACTGTTCTTTCTCTTCCTGTTCTTCCAATGTGTCCAACCCCAGTCCAAAGACACTATGATTTAGCTCAGAAACCATTAATTCTGATAGAAAGAATAAACTGTTATAATGCACAATTTTAATAAAAATAACTGAATTGATGCATTTATTGTCATTATATAAGAATCTGTCATCCACCCAATAGAATAGTATGCAAGGTTTAAGGCATCTCCAGAGCCGTAATTCGAATTTTCTGGAACGATATCACACAATCCAGCTACATGCTTCAGTAATGGAAGTTGCAGGGCAATTATGAGCTAATCTTTATAAGAAAAAACTTGAATATGAGTACACTGATTAGCCATCTTCCGTTTCATATCCCTCCTTTCTTACCATTTGCTTCTAAGATGTCAACATTTAAGATAGAGGTTCCACTGCTCTTAGCTGAAGTCTTTCAGCTGAGTCCTTTTCTCTTTCTATAATAGGCTGAGAACTCTTCTTTGTCTTCAAGTAACTTACATTTGTTCCAAGCAGTCCTAGGAATGGGACTTTATAAGTTGGTATTCATGTTCAGGGAGCTGTTTTGATCTCTCTGCCAATGCAGTAATATGCCCCTAATAGTCTGTGCACAATAGCTACAAAATAATCTCCCTTGCTAAATAAAAATCTACCGGATCTAGATTTCACAAAAGAAAAACTGTAATTCTAGTTGACTTCAGTACACTTTATTAAATAGGACATTGAAAATTTGCATAAGACTTCTGTACTCAAGAGTTTTTGATGCTTGACTGTGGACTGAATGAACAAAATGCACTAGGGTTCAAGGACAAATATAAGGGCCGGACAAGATCCTTTGTTAGTATAAATATCATTTCAAGAAAATAGATGGAAATACTGGAAGATTTTTGAAGTCATTATTTCTAAAACACAGGGAGTGTTTGGATATGCAACTGGTCTCATACCAGTATATATGCAGTATTGTTGTGGGAGGGGAAGTTATCACAATCTCTTACAACATTTTTGAATGTAACATTTTCAATAAAGCTATATATACTGGACACATCAAAAGGGTTTCATGAACAATTAGGTATTAGATGATATTAAGGAGTCACTATAGATACTTCTTGGATATGGTCTATTTTTAAAGAGGGTTCTTATTTAAGAGATACTTTGAAATACCTATGGATAGAAGTGATATGGAACTTGAAAATTTTTTGTCTGTTTTGGTCAGTAAAATCCAGTGTGTGTTGGGGGGCAGTAAAATAAGATTGTTCAGGAGTTCTTTTTTTAAAAATTTTATTTATTAATTTTATTTTATGTGTATGTGTGTATTGTCTGCATGTAGGTAAAGTGCACCTGTGTCGTGCAATGCCCGTGGAGGTCAGAAGAGGCTATCGGATCCCCTGGGAC